ATCTTGAGAAGTCATCAATAAAGGTGATGAAATATTTCTGACCAGGTATTGTCATATCAGGACAACATATGTCAGTATGAATAATTTCCAACAACGTTGTACTTCTATTGGCACCTTTCTTTGACTTGTTTGTCTGCTTACCCTTAATGCAGTCAATGCAAGTCTCAAAGTCAGTATAGTCTAGAGTAGAAAGTACTACATCCTTTACCAACCTTTTAATACGCTCAAGGGAGATATGACCTAATCTCCGATGCTACAACATTGAGGAAGTGTCGTTAATACTACACCGTTTGGTGCCGTTTTGAACATGTAAAGAATTGTAAACTGAATCATTCTTTAATTTAAGACGGAAAAGACCATCAGACATTTACCAGTACCAACACAAGTAGAATAATGAAATAACTTGAAATTATTGGCATTGAATTCAAAAGAATGTCCGAAGGGTACAAGTCTAGATACTGAAATTAAGTTCCTAGAAAAACTAGGAACATAAAATGTCCTTTCTAACTTCAATACAAAGCCATTGTCCAAAACTAAATTGCAAACTCGGATAGCTTTTACTGGTGATGCAATCTTGTTTCCAGAGAAGATGCTACACCCAGTTCCCGACGGCTGTCTCAGTTTTGTCATATCCTGCAAAGAGTTTGCAATGTAGATTGTTGAACCAGAGTCAACCCACCAGGAATTAGTATTAACTTCTGACATGTTAGATTCGAAACAAACAAAAGAAGATGAAATGTTACCTTTTTGGGACATCCATTTCTGAAACTTGATACAATCTTTCTTCATGTGTCCCTTCTTTTTGTAAAAGAAACACTTTTGTATCTTCTTAATGTCTGCTTTAGGGGTTAGTTTCCCCTTAGCAGCCATGGTAAGTCCCTTAGGCTTTCCAGACTTTCTTTTAGGCCTTGTTGTGGCCATTAAAGCACTTTCCCCAAGCTCAATTATAAGCCGTGTTTCCTCTTGAGTACACATGGTAATCAATTGATTGATAAACCATTCATCCTTATGTGTATTATAGGAAATTTTAAATGCATTATAGTCCTGAGATAGGGTATTTAGTGCAAAGTGCACCACAAAGGCATCTGGAAGAATAATTTTCAACTTCTTCAATTGAGCCGCAATGTCCCTGAGTTGCATGATGTGTTTTCGCGTTCCCTCAATAGTGGAAAGACGCATATTGATAAACTTCATTATCAGGGTACTTGCCAAAGATTTGTTCGCGTCAACAAATTGCTCATCGATGGCTGTGAGTAATGGCTCAATTTCCTCAATTTCATCGACGGGACCACGAATCTCTCTGGCAATTTTAGACTTAATGAGGAATACGCCCAAGCGATTGGCTGTTGCCCATCGTTCGTATAGCATTTTTTGTTTCTCAATGCTTTCCGCAGTAAGCTCAGCAGGCTTCTCATTGCGAATAGCATAATCAAACCCTAATATTCCCAAATTCAATAGAACAGCGTCTTTCCACTCTTTGTGATTATCATCTTTAAGGATAGGAATATCAATAGTTATTGATTGAGTGATTGGAAGAGTGACTGTAAAAGAAAATTGAAAGCTTTGTTAGAATTTTTCGAGGCACAAAATTAGAGAGAGATACTGAAGTACATAATATTACCAATGTAAAATTACGCAAAAAATAAATTCGGATGCCATAAAAATTGCATGTGGGCTAAATTTTTTACGCATAATGAATTTACCAAAAACTGAATGGTGGAAAAGGAATGGGTGCGATTTTAGTTTTTCCACCCTATATGCCGATACATAATTCCTGTGGGAAAATTATGATCATAGTATGGTATTTCATCCTAATTAACCCTACAAATATAACAAAATTGCATGTGGGCTAAATTTTGCCATATCACGCAGAATTAACTACAATATTCTTGCTTTGACTTTTATGTGAGTAAAACTTAATATGTAATTTTGGTAAATTAAAGATGTTGTGGCTACTCTTTAATTAACCAAAGAACATAATCACATTAGCAAGAAATCCTAATAAACAAACAGATTAAACCAAAATATGATAGACAATCTTTAGGTATACTGCCAGGAAAGTTGGTCGATACGAAGCTCGGTTAAAAATCAACTCCTTAGACAGAGTAGCGTCGCAAGGGGACTAGTAGCAACAAGGCTTTTAAGCCAGGGCCATAGAACTTGTATTCCTCCCCAAGAAACTTCCCTAATTCATGTGTTCTCATTTTTGAAGTAAAATCGTTTGAGAGATCTAAAGAGTAGTTTCACCTATGGATAAGGCTTTGAATATGGTAAACTACAATTTGTTTATGTACTTTATGTGTTTTAGGAACTTTAAGAGCACTTTATAAGAGCACGAATGGAGTAATAACTGAAGAGTGAGTAATAATATGCATAATCTAACCTGAAAGGCACTAATTCACCTAGAAGGCACTAAATCATGCAAAGCATATAAATTCAGACCTAAAAGTCTCTAAATTTATCCTTAATGAACATGTTTTTCTATAGGCATATAATTATAACAGTCAAATAATTATTTCAATAAAGAAGAGAAATGTAGCATGCTCAGATTATGCATAATACTCACAAATACTCCACAATTAAATTGCAACACTTAATACAATTTAAATTAAAAAATATTATTAAATTAAAATTCAACTAAAAAATTAAAAACTGAATAATTATTCAAAGTTGAATAATAATTTAATAATATACTTAATAAAAAAATTCAATTGGATAATTTAATTAGTAGAAGTCCAAATATGATGAAGATGTTAATCTAAATGAATTGATGTAGTCCAATTATCAATTCAGATTTGGCCCAAAACCATAACAGGCCCAGATTTAATAAAAAAAATTAAATGAGCCCAAGTCCGGCCCAATTGGGCCAGACCCGGCCCAGACCTCTTCATCGTCATCTTCTTCACGCTAGACTAGCAGCAACATGATTGCAGTTGGCGAGTGGGCCAACAAAGAATTGATTGAGGCAGTAGGCCAGAAGTTATCCAAATTGATTTTTTTTTTAATACTTAATGCGGAAGAATAAAACACCAAATTTCCAGCAACCCAGATAATTTAATTGCGAACTCAATAATATTCACATAATCCCAATTATAAAAAAAGTATATAAAATATGCAAATATTTAAGCAATTAAAAAAAACTAGGGAGAGATTATTTATGGCGACTGATACCAACTGTTAGACTAAATATATATCACATGCATATTACTGTGTGATACAGGATCGACTAACCTCCAGCCATAGTTTTTGATACAGTTCAGCGACCCGGACTGCTGCAGAGATAACGAGTATTTTGTCTCTCATTTTACTCAGCTTTCTCTAGATGGTGTATAAGGTATGTAATGTGAGCAGTGAGAGGACTAGTGACCTTATATAACCACTGGTCATTATTGTGGTTGATTGTCTTTAGGACTCCTAAACCCTAACCAGACTCCTAATCATAATGGTAGTCTAGTTATTATGTTATTAGTGTTGCACCACATATCAAATACTGAATATTATCATAACTTATCCTAATGTTATAATAATAGTAACGGATAAACGTTACAGCTAGTGCATGGTGCATTTCGAAATGTTTTATGGTACATTGATACTGACTTGACAGTGCATCCACACGTTCGCATAGGACAAGCTGTCCGCACCAAAACTATTCTTGTGTGAATAGTTATTCTTGTAAAAAATAATAATGAAACTCGGTTTTCTTATTTTATAGAAAATGAACTATAGAGATCTATGTTTAAAGTCAAGATACGATAACATTTTCCGTAAACACACATAAGTTTGAATGAATAAATGATGTGCATGTATTCATCTAAATAATGTATATTTAAGTTGTTGAGTTTGTCTCAAATAAGAATTAGGAGCGGAGCAGAGTCAGTCAGATCCGTGGTACAAAGGTATTTTTGTACATGTACATGTATAGAGATGCCTATAAATATGTTGTTTGTATCTCTAAGTGTTTTATTACCACCACAATTAATAAAAGAATAGTTTTACTCCCGTGAACGTAGGCACATTGCCGAACCACATAAATTTTGCATTCTTTACTTTTTGTCATTGTTAGTATTTTTTGTTCTTCTTAATCTCAACAAAATGGTATCAGAGCATTGTTGAGATAGTCGGTTTGAGTTCAAAATTTGAAGTATCAAAGTTCGATATATATGGAATTTTGGGTTATGGCAGTCTAGGGTTAAAGATTTGTTGGCTCAGCGTCTTCTAAAACCTTGAAGGCCGAAAAGCCAACTAATATGGCAGTGGCTGATTAGGAGGATTTAAAGGACCGCGCAACAGGAATCATTAGGTTATTATGTCTCATAGATAAAGTCGTGTATCACGTTTTGACCTTCGCAACTCCAAAAGAAATTTGGAATAAATTGGAGGGTCAGTTCATCGAAAAATCTCTAAGAAACAAATTGTATCTAAAGCAAAGGATTTATAGGCTTAAGATGCAAGAGGGTTCAAACTTGGTGCAACATAATAATGTCTTAAGCCCGATAATCTTAGATCTGGCCAGACTTGATATCAAGATTGAAGATGAAGACAATGTTATGATCTTGCTATGTTCATTGCCTCTTTCCTTTGAACATCTAGTAACTATTCTTACGTACAAGAAAGTCATGATTAAATTCAATGAGATCTCCATAGCCCTGCTAGCTCATAATCAGCTTAGGCAGAGTATATGGGATGGCTCTGTTGGTGACGATTTGTATGTTAAGGGGAGTCAAGATCGTAGAAGGAAGGTAGGGAAAGATAATTCTTAGAAGAGAGACTTTCAGGTCTAAGTCCAGAAACAACAAGAAAATCCGGTGTTATAAGTGTAAGAAGTTTAGGCACATGAAAAGAGACCGTCCAAAGTTGAAGAAGCAGTAAGAGGCTGCAAACGTGGTACATACTGATGAGTCATATTATAGTGAAGGTGATGTTATAGCAGTTTCATCGAGTAAGTTGTCAAATGCTTGAATTTTGTCCCCGGGATGCTCCTATCTATTACGCCTAAAAAGAAGTGGTTCACAACTAATAGGTAAGGTACTTTCGGTTCTATTTTTCTGGGTGATGACAGATGTCATAATATTGTGGGTATTGGTGATGTTAATTAACATCCAGATGTATGGTGGTATTGTAAGAACTTTGCATGATGTTAGACATATACCAGGGTTAACTAAGAACCTGATTTCCCCGAGTAGTTTGCATGATAATGGTTTTATTCATAGATATAGGGAAACCATTAAAATCAATAAGGGTGTTCTAACTATGATAAAAGGGAAAAAGACCACGTGGAACATTTATAGGTTGTTGGGCAATACTGTTGTAGGTGAGATACATTATGTTGAGTTTAGTGATGATATTGCTAAGTTGTGGCATTTACATTTGGGTCATCTTAGTGAAAGTGGTTTCTCTGAATTGCACAAAATAAATATGTTAAAATGCATTAAATGATGTAAGCTAGAATTTTGGGAGTTATGTGTCCTTGGGAAGCAATCCATAGTAAGTTTTTATATTGGGAAGCATAAAACTGAATGGATTCTAGATTATGTGTATTCTAATGTTTTGGGACCTACTAGGGAACCTTCGATGGGTGGCTCTTCGTATTATGTTACGTTTACTGACGATTTTTTTGGGAAAGTTTGGATTTATTTCTTAAAATAGAAATATTAAGTTTTTGAGAAATTCAACCTGTGGAAGGCTGGGGTTGAGAACTAGACTGGCAAAAAAAATCAAGTACTTAAGGTCTGACAATGGGACAATAAATATACTGAGAAAGAATTCCAGAAATTTTGTATAGAGCATGGAATTCAGAGGCACTATATAGTGCTTATGACACCAAAACAGAACGGTGTTGTTGAGCGGCTTAATCCACCTACAGTTGAAACTCAAGAAGTGAAAATTCCAAATCTGCAGCAAGTTCGAGTTTAGAGGATTTATAGGATTATCGTTTGACTAGAGATAGACTGGGACGCACCAATATCAAACCACCTAGCAGGTCTTGGTTTAAGGATAGGGTCTATTTTGCACTTCTTGTTAATAATAATGATCTAGTGACCTTCAAGCTGTTATTTCTAGCCAAGTGAAAGATAAATATATGGCAGGTATGATTTAGTCTTTATATCAGAATCATACTTGGGATCTAGTTCAACTTCCTCAAGGCAAGAAGGCTATACGGTGCAAGTGGGTCTATAGGAAGAAGTCACCGATGGGGGAGGGGGAGGGGGGATTTCAACGCTCGGTTAGTTGCAAAGGGGTTTTCTCAACAGAAGGGGATAGATTATGATGAGGTTCTCTCTCATGTTGTTAGACATACTTCTATTAGGTTAGTACTTGCTTTGGTCGCTATATTACATTTGGAGTAGATGGATCTGAAATTGCTTTTCTGCATGGTGATCTAGATGAACAGATTTTTATGAAGCAACCTGAAGAGTTTGTTAAACCCGGAGGTGAGCATCTGATTTGTAGGCTTAATAGGTCTATGGGCTAAAATAGGCTCCACGGTAGTGGTACAAGTGGTTTTGTGACACCCCGGAAATTCATTCCCTAAAACCCGAATTAATTCCTTGTGACTTTACAATTCTTATCCTAATTTCCCTTTGAAATTAGTTGAAGGACCTAGTTGACCAAATTCCTTATCCTTTTAATTTGGTCAATGAGTTGTACCTTAGGCTTTAGCCCTTGTACCCTAGACTTTGTCTTTCTCCTAACTAGTTTTGGGAGGAAGGGGCCCTTTTGGTCATTTCACACAATGCTAGCATTAAAACCCTACCCTAACCAAGGAATCCAAATCATTTTTAGGATTCACCTTCTCTCTACATCTCTTTCTTGCTCCCTACTCCTCCTTCTCTCTAGGAAATCCTAGAGTTGATCTTCATAAGTTCTTCAAGAAATCTCAAGCCAAGATTCCAACTTTCCAACACTACAAGGCTAGGAATGGTAAGATCTATCATTCCCTACATTTTCCTTACAAGATTCCTCCACCTTTTCTCTAAATCTTTCTTCTACCTTGTGGGTTTTGGGAGTTTGTTGAAGATCTAGTGGTGGGTGAAGTGCTAGGTTGATCTAGAGGAGCTTTGGTCTTGCTTTGAAGTTGAAGAAGGTGTTCTTGGTCTACAAGAGGTAACACATGCTACACAACCTATTTTCACTTGATAATAATGATTATTAGCTTCTATGTGACATTCTTGATGTGTTTGAGTGATTGATGCATGATCGTGTGATAATTCATTTTAGAGCTTGTATTTAGGGTTCTTAAATGCTTTTATTTGAGTTATTCATATGTTCAAGTCATATCTTTGTTGTATGGAAGATTTGGGATCATTTGGACTTGAACTTGACCTTGTAGAAGAAAAACCGCGAAAGCTGAATTTTTGTGCTGTAGTATTCCCAGCGGGAGGAACCACGGGTAGGAGCCCTACCCGTGGCCCCACCCGCGGGTACATGTTGAGAAATGGTGTGTTGGTTGTTTGCCCACCGTTTTTCCTACTTGTGTGTGATTCTTTGGCCTCCATTTGATTGGATTGTTGAGTGTTTGTGTGTCTCCTTGATGTTACTTATGTTTAGAGCGATGTCTTAAGTGTACAAGTTAGGACTTGGTGTCTTGAATCGTGCTAGTGGTCCAACTTTGTGATTCGTTGAATTATTGTGAGTCTTTGAGGTTCATTGGAACCATTTTGGTTTACCCGTTTGATATGCATGCTAGTTTTGGTGTCATTGATGCTAGTATGTATTGTTTGTTCCTTTCTATTGAGGATTGGCAACTCATGTTGCCAACCATGTCGATATTGGATTGAGATCCATTATTGTTGTTGAGTATCGTTTCATGTTCTTTATTGAAATCCCTTGCTTGGATCCCTTGATGTGATCCTGTGTGTATGATTATTCCTTGATTAAGCTATTGTTGGGCTTATCCCTTGTTGTACACACTTTGCGTGGAATCTATGTATTGTTGTATCTCTAGATTCCGTGTCTAAACATGGGAAGCAGCATTGGGAGACAGTTAAGTGAATTCTCCAATACTTAAGAACACTATTAGGCATGGTATTGTATTTAGGATTCAACAAAGTGAGCTTGTACTCATGAGATGTGCGGATTCTGATTATTCTGGCGATATGGATAACAAATGTTCTACAATTGGATATATCTTTACTCTTGGGGTGGTCCTATTTGTTGGAGGTCATCAGTTAAGCCTATTGTAGCTTTGTCTACAATTGGAGTAAAATACATGATTGTGACCAAGGCAGCTAAAGAGGCTTTGTGGCTTTTAGATTTGATTAAAGAATTGGATATTGAGCAAAGTGGAGTTCAGTTTCATTGTGATACTCAGAGTGTCATCTTTTTGGCTAAAAATCAAGTATATCATGCCAGAATCAAGCATATTGATGTAAGGCTCCATAAGGTTAGAGAGTTGGTTACTTTTGGTGAGATATTGTTGCGAAAAATTCATACTAGTGAGAATGCAGAAAACATGTTGACAAAGGTAGTTACTACTTACAAGTTCAAACATTGTTTGGACTTGTTGGGTGTTTCCAGATGCTAGAAAAGCATTGTTACCCCGACCCATGGGTATATGCGAGATAAGTATTTTCTCCTAAGGGGCATATTCGTCAAGGTGGAGATTTGTTGAGTTTGTCTCACATAAAGATTAGGAGCGAAGCGGAGTGGGTCGGGCCCGTGGTACAGGGGTATTTGTGTACATGTATATGTCTAGAGATGCCTATAAATACGTTGTTTGTTTATCTAGGTGTTTTATCACTATCACAATTAATAAAAGAATAGTTTCGCTCTCATAGACGTAGGCACATTGTCGAATCACGTAAATCTTGCCTTTACTTTCTGACATTATTATTGTTTCTTGTTCTTGTTAATCTCAATAGAGACTTTATGATATATCCATGAATATTTTGGCAAAATAATGTGCAATTGTTATGTTGTAGATAATATACATGTTCATTTTTAGTATACTACAAATTCAATTTTAGTGTATTACCTAAAATGAACATGTGGTATACTAAAAATGAATTTACACTATACTAAAAAAATTAACATGTATCAGTGGTCCTTCAATGTGAAGCATAGTCTATGATATAATTTTCCAATGATGTGTATTTAGACTAAAACAATGCGTGGAGACTATCCAATACGTATTTAATCTAAAATAATGCAGATAAATTTTTTTTTCAAAATGAGGTGGTTTTATCCAAAACTACTATATGAAAAACTTACGACATATTTACAAAAAAATATCTCTACACCTACTATTTGAACTTTTGCATATTTTAATAGATTTTCTCCAAAACAATTTGAATTTTTCACAAATTTTATGTGTTTTACACCACAAGATGTTTTACTTCTAACTTATGCAATGAAAGTCCTACATATTTTCAAAAAAAAAAAAAAAAAAAAAAAAAAAAAAAAAAAAAAGACATTACAATATCTATGGGTATATTTAGAAACTTAGAAAATAACTTCTGGAAGTCATTTTTTAATATTTGACTATCAACAAAAAATAAAATTAATAAAAATATCTATTCTTGTCAAAGATAAAATGGTCCATCTTGATAAAAAATGTCTTTCTAAATTCTACTCGAAAGACATTTTCTAAAATCTCATCTCACGCTCAATTTTCTTTCTAAATGATGTCCTAAAAATTAAGAGCGATTAAATAAGTCGAGTTGGGCTAAGCTACAAAGTCAAACAATAAAAATCATTATCCAACCAGACTTACATACAAAAAAAATAATAATAATAATAATAATAAGTAAATAAAAATCAATGTCTTTAATTTAAAATTATTTTATTTATCAATTTATGTAAATATTTTTATTATCATAAGTTACAACTTAAAAATTATTTATTCAAAAAATTAGAAATTACAATTACTATTATTTTTCAACAATCCTAAACTGTAATCACTTTTTAAAAGAGACTTGCTCTCATACAATTCATCATCAAGTTCATAATTGAAAACATATCATCACTTTAAATCTTCACAAGTTTAAAAGTAATACATCAACATCAAATTTTAAATAATTAGAGAACTTTAAACCAGATGATCAAAAATCAATAAAATATAATAATCTGAAATCACCCACATAATTATGCTTGGAAAAAAGTTGAAAAGGGAGCATGCATCATGGAATTCATCAAAATAAAACAGGATTCATAATTCAAATCCATCCTTAACGTTTCGGATTCGCAAAAAGTTTGTTCTCGAATGATCTCAAATTATGACTGAAAGAGCCCTCCAAAGAGAGGATTTACAGCTACAACAGAAACAAATGATCAAGGAAATTGCATGCAGCTTCTTGTTTCCTTATTTTGCCTGTGGGTGGGATGCAATGAAGTCAACAGCAAGATTGATTGAATTGATCTTGTCTGCTTCGTTGTCGGGAATCTCAAACCCAAACTCTTCTTCAAAGGCCATTACAATCTCCACGGTGTCCAAACTATCTAAACCGAGATCTTTTTGGAAGTGAGCATTGGGCGTAACCTGCAGAGAGAAATAGAGATAACACCTGATAAAACACACCGCCCGAACCTTCAAACACAAGAGGGGATGGGGAAGTGTGTCTAAGAAATCCTTTAATTATAGACATATCCAGTCAATTCAAAAGATTTGTCACAAGATACGTTAACGGAAAACTTTAAAACGAATGCTACCAAGAAGGTAGTAACTGGTTTCTGCATTGATCACAGCTAAATGAATACAAGCTATAACTAAAGTAAATCCAATGAACCAACCGTGCATAGTAAAAAACAAAAATCAAATACTCTCTCCCACCCATTTCAATCTGCCCCTTTGACCCAACAAGCAATTTACGAAAAGATAATGCAATTAGACCTGCCAGAAGTATCATGGCTGGGATTGCAAAATATACCATTCCAAATAGCTACTGAACAAATATCTGAATTAATTGCACCAATCCAACAATTTTAGCTTCACTAATAACTAACTATGTGTTTGATACTGGGTGTCCACATTGCCAAAAAAAAAGCTGCAATGTGGGTGCAAATCTTAGACAACATTTGTACCCTTGAGGACTAAATGCTTCTTTTGCCCAACTAATGGCTTCTTCAGAAGAGGCTTTTATGAAAAGGTTAAGTTTAGAGTTTCTTCAAAATAAAGTTTTCCATCTTATACGACCTGGAAAACTATTTTATATTTTTACTACTTGGCAAATACTACTGTGTTTTGGAGTAGATAAGCTCCAAAAAATAAAAGATGGATCTTTTACAGTTGAATTGCATGCATTAGTTAACCGACACCCCCTGGCCAGGTTTGGACATGAATGACACAGGATCAATGTTGTAGAAAGCGCTAGGCTCTAGTCGGGTGCCCGGGGGTGCGTAGGCTCCGCCTAGGCAGGCGAGTAATAATAATAATAAAAACACAGCAGTGTACACATTGCACACCGGAAGAAAAAAAAAAAAAAGAAAAAAAAAAACTCGGCTGAGTTGGCCGAGTTGGGCACTAAGTTGGCCGACTCAGGAGTTGAGTTAGCCGACTTGGGCACCGAGGCCACCTAGTCGGTCGACTAATCGGTCGGCCAACTAATGTCCACTTAAGGGTAAATTCCCCTCGGCCTAGGAGGGCCTAGCGCCTAATTGGCACCTAGGCAGCTGCCTAGGCCGATTTTTACAATAGTGCATAGAAGACTACTCATCTTTGTCTCCAGCCTTTATGGGAGTACAAATCATACACTTGCTTTACCACTCTTATTTGCCCTCTTCTACAGAAAAATGAACATTCATCTTCCTCCTTTTATATCGGTCCTGTTTGGTAAAATGGCTGTTAGCTGATAGCCGTTAGTTGTTAGCTGATTGTGTTAATTAGAGGGTATAAATAGGTGATAATATTAGCTGATTGTAGAAAAGTGTTTGGTAAATTAGCTGTTAGCTAATAGCTGTTTGGTATAATTTCTTTTCTCAAAAAGCTAATTGAAAAAGTTGCTTGTAGTAGCTTTTTGAATTTTAGCCTTTTGTAGTTGCAAAAAGCTAATTAACCAAACATTTATATTGATATTTTAACTAAATCAAACAATTAATAGTGATCAAATAAGCCAAAATTGGCCTATAGGCCAATTTTTTACCAAACAGGGCCATCCTCTTTTTGTCCTTCACCCTATCTCTCTAATATGCTACTTCAATGTACAAAACATGAACAGGGATATATTGCTTCAGCCCAAAGTATGTTAGAAAGTATTTTGTAATAAAGCCATCTAATTCTGTTTTTTTCTTCTCCAGTGAAATGCCAATTTTCTAGTGCCCCATAATTCTTATCAGTGAATCAATGAACATTATTCATGGGAAGTTGCAATTAATTAATTTTTTTTTTTAAATGCAGGAGCATCAAAGAAAATATGAATCAAAGAAGCAATTCACTGCTTTCATTTCATTTTCAAACTCGAACCCAACATATTATCATTTTCTCAAAATTATCCAGTTAAACATTATCCCAGCCGTGGCACCTCACAATCCCTTAAATTTAAATGCCATGAATTAGCAACAAATGGAATTCAATGCTTTCGCTACATCTTCAAGAACCAAATAAACAAATTATTTTCAAAAAACAATAAGTTAACAATTTGCAGTACTATGCAGCACATCACAAATTGCCTAAGACCCTAGTTTTGTTTGATCACTGCAAAGCATTATACAGTTTCAAATAGCCATCTCAAGTAAAGTATGAAGAATCCACAGAACCCAGTTTAACATATACTCTTTTAACCAACACAATCCACACCACTTTTTAAGTTGAAACCAGATAAAGTTTGAACTAACCAAAGTATTAAAAAAAAATAGTAATAAAATCATTAAAATAACAATGTATTTTTCGAAAATTGAAATTTTTCAAAATAATATTAATCTGCTCATATATATAAATCAGCAGGCGCAAACAAAGTTTAAACCCAAATTATACTATGAGCCCTGGCTGGCATTTCTTTTGGGGCGAACCCTCAAGCTTTAACTATGTTTTCACCACTATAATACTCCATTACTCCCGGAGTCTGAGCTAGACATTCACCACAACAATATTCCTCACCTTTGGACAAATTGTCCACGCTAAAAATGTTGAGAATAAAAGAAATGAAGAAAAAATTGGAGGAAAGAGAAAAGTGAAAATGGGAGGGGAGTAGTACCTTAGCGGGATCGACTTTCTGAAAGTTCTTGACGACGGTGATGACACGGTCGGTGACTTCGGATTTATCAAGGAAGGAGCCTCTCGCTTCCTCGCAGAAATGACGGGTCGGTCCGATCAGCCGAAAAAATGGGCCACTAGGGTTAGGGGAAGGGTTTCGCAGTGCAATGACTTCCACTCTCAGGTGCTTTAGCAGCGCGCTTCTCATGGCCGCCGCCATAGGAACAGAGGGAGATCGACGAGGAGAGAAATGGGTTTTGGGGGTGAAGAAGAGCAGTAGAAAGTTCTGGGAGCGATTTGTATACTAGTAGGGATTTTCAAGTTTATTATTGATAGGTTAAATCAATACGGAGTACTATTTTTTATTTTTTTTTTGTATTTTTTAATTATTTATAATTTATAATTTAAATTAAATTTTTGTTTTTAATATAATTTTTAAATATATAAATTTTATATAATAATATTAAACTTAATATTATAAAAAATTAAATTAAAAATAATTTCAGTCAAACTTCTATAACTAAAAATGAGACAGAGAGTGAGTAAAACTAGAAACCCATGTGACTATATGATATATGACATTACTAATTTTGAATTGTGTCCATGAATTTTTTATAAATTAATATTTTTCAAATATTAATATATTTTCAAAGTTTTATCAATCTGTTTTAAAAAATCAACTACTCTTACTTTTATCTGAATAAAACAAAAAGCATACATATTATTCTATTTTAAAAAATTAGCTACTCTTACTTTTATCTGAATAAAACAAAAAACATACATATTTTTAGACTTAGTACGTAATACAATTGATTTTCTCATGATAAAATACTAGAACAAATGGAGATAAATTATTTTGTCTTTCTCTATGTAATATCTTTTATTATTGCCAAACTATAGTATATAATGACTATTTTTTTAAGTTTAATTTAAAGAAATTCAAAGCAACCTCAACAATGTAAGACTTTTTATTGTTTTTCAGTGCCAAGTAGAAAAAGCAGGGAAAGAGAGAAGAGGAAAAAAGAGGAAAAAAATTCTAACAAAAAAAAGTACATTTACGTGGCGATGGCGCGGCAGTGCGCCACATGCAGCTTTTCCCTCATTTTCCCATTCAATGAGTCCCAAAAAAAAAAAAAAAAAAAAAAAAAACATTTGCAAGGAAAAAGATGTAGCTAAAACCACCCCCACCCCCACCTCCCATCCATCCAAAAGTTCCCTCCCAATTTTTTCTTCTGAAAAAACTACTCAAAAACCCCTCTTGGAAATGTCCTCATAAGTGAGACATCAACCTAAGGGTCCGTTTGGAAAGCAGGAAAATGACTTCTGGAAAATGTTTTCTGAAAAATGAGTCATTTTCCGGAAGACATTTTCCTTTCCAGTGTTTGGTTGCATTATGGAAAACTGTTTTTCTGTGTTTGGTTCATTTTCTGGAAAATGAGTAGAATTGTATAATTAAACATTTTAATTATTTTATTTAGAATATTACAACATGTATAATAATATATAATAATATAATATTAATTTTAAATATAATAAAAAATAGCTAAGTTTTTCAAAAAAAAAACTAATAATACATCAAAAATATTATGGTGGTGGTGGTGGTGTAGTGGTAGTGGTGTTATTCGTTATATAATAATAATAATAATAATTGGTGGTGGTATGACGGTGGTGGTGTGGTGGCGGTGGTGATTGCAGTGGTATGGTCGTGGTGGTGGCGGCGGCGGCGGCGTGATGGTGGTGGCGGTGGTTGCGGTGGTATGGTGGTGGTAGCGGCAACGGTGGTTGTGGTAGTATGCTAGTGGTGGCGGCGACGGCGGTAGTGGTGTTGGTGTGATGGTGGTGGTAGTATGACGGTGGTGGCAGTGGTCGTGTGGTTGCGGTGGTGGTGGTGGTGGTGGCGGCGACGGTGGTTGCGGTGGTATGGTAGTGGTGGTGGCGGCGGTGGTTGCGGTGGTATGGTGGTGGTGGTGGCGGCGGCGGCGGCAGTGTGATAGCGGTGGTGTGGTGGCGGTGGTATGGTGGTGATGGCGGTGGCGGTGGTATGGTGGTAGTGGTGGCGGCGATGGTGATTGTGGTGGTATGGTGGTGGTGGCGGTGGTAGCGGCGACGGTGGTTGCAGTGGTATGGTGGTGGTGGTTGCGGTGGTATGGTGGCGGTGGTTGCGGTGGTATGGTGGTGATGGCGGCAACGGTGGTTGTGGTAGTATGCTAGTGGTGGCGGCGACGGCGGTAGTGGTGTTGGTGTGATGGTGGTGGTAGTATGACGGTGGTGGCAGTGGTCGTGTGGTTGCGGTGGTGGTGGTGGTGGTGGCGGCGACGGTGGTGGCGGTGGTATGGTAGTGGTGGTGGCGGCGGTTGCGGTGGTATGGTGGTGGTGGTGGCGGCGGCGGCGGCGACGGTGTGATGGCGGTGGTGTGGTGGCGGTGGTATGGTGGTGATGGCGGTGGCGGTGGTATGGTGGTAGTGGTGGCGGCGATGGTGATTGTGGTGGTATGGTGGTGGTGGCGGTGGTAGCGACGACGGTGGTTGCAGTGGTATGGTGGTGGTGGTGGCGGCGGCGGTGGTTGCGGTGGTATGGTGGCGGTGGTTGCGGTGGTATGGTGGTGATGGCGGTGGCGGTGGCGGTGGTATGGTGGTAGTGGTGGCAGCGACGGTGGTTGCGGTGGTATGGTGGTGGTGGTGGCCGCGGCGGTGGTGTGAAGGTGGTGGTGTGGTGGAGGTGGTGTGGTGGAGGTGGCGGTGGTATGGTGGTGATGGCGGCGATGGTGGTTGTGGTGGTATGGTGGTGGTGGCGGTGGTAGCGGCGACGGTGGTTGTAGTGGTATGGTGGTAGTGGTGGTGGTGGCGGCGATGGTGGTTGCGGTGGTATGGTGGCGGTGGTTGCGGTGGTATGGTGGTGATGGGGGCGGCGGTGGTATGGTGGTAGTGGTGGCGGCGACAGTGGTTGCGGTGGTATGGTGGTGGTGGTGGCGGCGGCGGCGGTGGTGTGAAGGTGGTGGTGTGGTGGCGGTGGTATGTGGTGGTGGTGGCGACGGCGATGGTGGCGTTGGTATGGTGGTGGTGGTGGTAGTGGTTGCGGTGTTGGTGGTGGTTGTGGTGGTGGTGTGATGGTGGCGGGGGTATAGTGGTGGTGGCGGCGGCAATAGTGGTGGTGATGGTGGTATGGTGTTGATGATGTTGGTGGTGGTGTGATGTTGGTGTAAAAGTTGGAAAATGACTTTCCCCCCAAAAAAAGGGGAAGTCATTTTCCTCCAAAACAAGCCTATTTTCCAAAGTCAACGGAAAATGATTTCCGTTGACTTGATTTTCCAGGCACATCCAAACACTGAAAACTTAGAAAATGATTTCCAGAACTCATTTTCCAAGTTTCCAAACACACCCTAAGAGTGAAACTAAGTCTCAAATCTCAATAAGACCCTACTCGAGAGAAACTCTTCCAAATATGTTGTTGCATAAACATAAGATTAAATCTTTAATTACATGCTTAAAAACAACTCACTCAAATTATGTATATTCGTTGTTCACTAAAATTCCATAAATTTCTTGGCTGCAAGGCTGCAACAAGAAATTGCCATTTACAGGATTTGTCCAATAAAATTATTTTGAATGGTTGGGCTCAAGAAAACCAAGGCAGATGAGCAATACAATTGTTAATAATGGGGGTATCAACCATCACCAAACATGCACCTCTCTATGACAAGGATATTTGAGAAAATAATCAAATACTACTACTAGGATTCCTTACCAAATAACCAACTATTTCAGTGATCTCTGTAATGCACATACAAACATATATCCACATGCTTACATTGTTGCAAAAATTTGAACAAAAAATAAGAATGACCAAAAGGGCTTCTGCTAAAATTTTTTAATTTTAGTCCCAAAAACCAAAAGCAAAAAACAAGTGAAGGCAGTCCTAAAGTATTGCGTGTATCTATGATCTGGGGTAGTTATAGAGGTGGGTAGAAATACGATGACAAGGAAAAACCAAGGAACAGCAAGCCCCCGACTGTTGCTACTGTCCGCTGTGAAATCTTGGAGGCCAGCATGCTTCCTCCCACCACTGCCAAAGAGGTACATACAGTGTGTCCTATCGTGGCACCCACAGCAACTCCAATTGCATTTTTGTGGGTAGCTAGCTGCACAAATCATAGCCGACCAGGGTCGGTCATCAAACATTCTTTCTTTATGCAGCAGTCTCATGTAATATTGTAAAAGTGGCCCGGCCCCACTACAAGCCTAAATTTTGGCTGGCTTTTGCAAGCCAGCCCAGCCCTCATGCTAGAGTTCAAGTGACCCTAGCCCACCCTGCGAGGGGTTGGCAGGCCCCACAGGTCAGCCCGCGAGCTTTTTAATAGAAACCAAAAAAAAACATCAACAGATATATTCCAAATAATATAAGTATGGACAGTTTTACTATACATGCATATCTGTCCCCCCAATATTATAGGCCAGTAAAAAGTTAACATATAGATTTATATACACACGCATGTATGTAATTGTATTTAATGATAAAAATAAAAAAAGTCGGGTGTAGGGGATTTTTAAAAAAAAAATAAAAATAAAAAATAAAAAAGTCCTGCCTGCGGGTTGGCCTGTGACCCGTGCAGGCTGCATGCCTTTGCGGGCCATCTTTTTTATGACCCTAACCCAGCCCGCGGACTTCAGCCCCCTTTGACATCCCTAGGGCCTAGACTCTCATGTAACAATAACCATTGTCACAGTAAATCCAAACAAGTGAGTGAAAAATTATAATGTATACCGAGATCAAAATTAAACTGTACTGTATCTTTTTTGTTGACAAGGGAAATTAAGCTGCAACCTTAATATTGAATACAAACACAGAATCATAATTCATTGCTACTGAGAATGCTACTCCACTTAGAACCATCAGTAAAATCAATTCCCACTTCTAATAATGGAAGTAATCTTATATAGCTTACTACCACCACACGAATGAAGTGGGGAAACGGCCATTATTTAAACAAAAAAAAAAAAAACAAAAAAACAAAAAAAAAATAAAGGAAAAAACAAGAATGGTACAAACAAGGCAGCCATCCAATTATCCAATAATGATAAAGAATGACTTACAGCAATTGTTGCTATCTGGCTGCGATCTCCCCATTCTGCCAGAAAGGTTAAGATGAATGACTGCAAACAATTTAGGAATAGGCACAAGACATGTTAGTCAAATTACTAATTTGTTGATTAAACAAGATAACACCACTGAGTTCACCTGCTTCATAAAGAATATGAAGAGTATTCATTAGAATAATACAATTTATACAAGTAAATTGACTTGCACCATTTTCATAAGGTCAAATCTTTACTTGAAAATACACGCATAGTGATTCAACCAAGAATTGAAAAATGAAATGCTAACCCAACCCATACCTCCAAATATATTGGTGTACAGAATCTAGAAAAGAAACGCCTAACTGCTGTTTTCCCCTGTCCAGCTTCGAGTTTCTCTTCTACCTGGAATATTTAAACTTAAAAATTGGAACAATTTTGAGCACAATGGTACAAAAGGAGATGGAAAATTTGGAGTAAGAAGCAGAACATACACTCATAAAGAAAGATATATTTTAGAAGTATGGAGCAGTAACAAAAGTAACAAGCACAGTTTTACGGCTCATTACTCATTAAGTTCTACCTTGATAAATATTACTGTAGCATAAATCAATCTAAACTCAAAAGGTGCAAACATACTTCCTCTATTTCTTTTTTCTGGGAAGCTTTTGAATCTGACCTCCACGCAATGTAAAGTAGTCGAAGCCCAAAAAATGCATAAAGAACTGCAAAGGACCATGAAAAATGAGATTCATAATTACCAATAGATTTTTCTGATAAATCATAGCCAACCAATAGATTATTACTAGTACTTTCATATAGTCATAGTAGATGTTTACAACTAAGCACATACACCCCCACAGCCCACCCTTCATCTCCAAAGATAGGAAACGTGGCAAAATAAAATAAGAATCTAATGAACCAAAAAGCACTCCCTGAAAAAACATCCCTTCCACCAGTTAGCTTTATGAAATAAGAATCTAATGAACCAAAAAGCACTCCCTGAAAAAACATCCCTTCCACCAGTTAGCTTTATGAAGGAGGCTTCCATTTTAACTTTATCAGTGAAAGCTTGTAGCATGGAAGTAAACAGCAGATAGTATGGTGGGAATCAAGTTCTGAAAATGTATAGTTCAAGTTTGACAGAGAGGAGCAAAAAATATTATAGCTGGGGCATTCAAGCATGACACTAGCAATCACAATTTGAAGGAAGTCGGGAACTACAAACAAAAGTTGGATCTTCCATGCTTTAAATGGAAACAGATTTTGCAATTAAAAAAAAAAAAACAATCAGTCATCGATCCACATATTTTTCCCTGTTCAAATTGTCATCAGCATCACATTAATGAAATATAAACTGATTGGAAGTTATGAAATCACATGCCTGTAGCTGCACTATTAGTATGCTTCCTTGATATCAGGTTAGGCACAATCCTGCCAAGTCCAGTTGAAAGTATCTATTTTACATGGGCAAGAATACTAGTCTTAGTATTACAAGTCAAGCCCTCACTAGAAGAAACTCAAACAATAAAATCTGAAAATGATAAAGTGAGAAGAGATTGGATAGCTTACTGTCATTATAAACAAGGCACTCAGGGCACCAGATAGAACAATTGACTTAGGGTGACGCATTGCCATAAGAGCTGCTATTATAAATGTCTCATCGCCAATCTAGCAGCATAGCCATTCATAAAATATTTAGTGAGCCAAAATAAGGAAATATCATGAGAAGAGCACACCAAAGTGAGCAATTTATATGCCCAGCTGTGATTTTGTTTCATAAAACTGTGCTCATTGAAATGCCAAGCAGCAGATTACTATTAAACTAATGGATAAGGAGGTCCATTATCATCATCACCAAGATAACACAGATGATAGACAATAATGAAGACTGGCAGAGAAAACTTCCCACAGTGAAATTCAAACACCGGAATATTTAAGTCATAAGACTACAGAAGTCAGAACTGGCAACAGAGCTACAGAAGCAAAGCCACTAACCTCACTGACAATGATCATCGACAAACTTGCAATGAAGGCATCAAATACTCCAAGACCTGTGTCCAAGTCGAGGGCAAGGCCCACAGAATCAGGATCATTTTCCTCTTGTAGAACACCAGTCTTAAGTTTTTCAACAATAATCTGTCCACCAAAATAAAAGCATGATCAATAACCAAGGAATCACATTATTAACTCAGGAATATATACAATATAAAACATTATACAAGAGGCATTTTGTGATCTATGCTCCTCTCACTACAATAAGAACACCCAATATTATATCATGTTTGAGTACCATTTTAATTACACTATGAATTACAAGTTAACAAATATGTAAGCTTTTGATAGGCCAAGATTGACAATCTTCATCAGCAGATGCAAGAGAAAACACAAAAAATTCTTGAAGAAACATAAGCTATTTTCATGGGAATAGTAAAGTCAACCTCCTCTCTAGGCACACTAGTTTAAATGTTCAATAGCCAAGAGTTTACTGGGTGGACTAAGGAACTTGTTAATTATCTTCAAAATACTGCACAGATACCCAGATGTTGATCTAGTGCTTTAAGCTTGCTGACGCTGTATGTTTATGGCAGCGAAGATGGCAAATGAATAGGTCCGTAAAATGTTTATCTCACCACCGATGTAGTGAGGTGATACAATGCTGGCAAGGACCTCAAATAATTGATGACCAACAAATTGGGTATAGGCTCTCTTTAACTAGTTATTGGATTTAAACAATTTTTTTAATAATAACAATGATAAAGCCCTCTCCTTTCTCACCATCATACTTGGGAATTTCCCTGCTTGTGAAACACCAAGATACCAAGCTATGTCTCAATCATTCATATCATTAGCTTCCCGAGATTGGATCATCCCAAAGTCAATTGAATCAACTACAGAAAGTGCAGAGCAATACATTCTATCCCAGTTCACCAAAGGTCCATTGTTTAATTCAGAAAATTATCGTTCAATTCCAATGTGCTTTCCAACAAAATGAATATGTGAACATAAAATTACAGTATACTCACTTTACTGCGGCGACCCAGATCTCCAATCCTTCCGCTCGACTCTTCTTTTCCAGCCTCATCAATGATTTCCTACGAATTATCGGCACCCAAACACCAAAAATACATCAGTTAATACATACGCACACATGCAGAGATAAGAAGAGCGTATCAAAAGTACCTGAGCAGAAATCAATTGGGCAGCGAAAACAAGTAAGAGGGCAAAGAGGTAAAGATAGGCATTCGATCTCAAACCCATGTCGGTTCCTTCTTCTTCTTCTCCGAGCTATTGGAATCTGTACGCGAATCCAAAGAGAGAGAAGAAGTAATGGGAGGGCGAATCTTGCGGAGATGAAAAAGGCAATGGGTTTTTCGGGATCGACACAGGAAAATCCGGATCTATTCAGACGTTACCGATACATTGTAGTGAGAGAAAGGAAAAGGGAGGGATATTGCTGTGAGAAGAAGATGAGCGGAACTCCGGACTTGCATTTAGATTGCCAGCAAGATGATGACAATTTGCCATATATTTTATTTTATTATTTTTTTTTTTTTTGCTTCCGATGAGGGGATATCCCAAAAAAAAACTAAAAGCTGAGACTCAGACACCCGTATTGCTATGGATGCTTCTTGCGACGTGCACCCCCAACTTATCCAGCCAAATAGCCTCGTTGAGCTCATGAGGGATATCCGTCAACCTCCATAGACCAGGGCTGTTAGAAAGTGCAGCTGTAGCCATCTTGTCCGCCACTGTGTTGCCTTCACGCAGAATGTGCTCAAAGACCACCCTCGGAATCTTTGCAGCCTCAGTCCGGCATCGTCTCACAATATTGTTTAAAAAGGGCAAATCATCGGCGTTTGGTGCAAAATCTCCACTAGCCTCTTCGAGTCACACTCCACCACGAGCCCCGTTGCTCCATACTCATTGGCCATGCACAGACCTTGCCACACCCCCCATGCTTCTGCCTCAAAGGCCTGGCAAATGCCTATATTCAACAGAAAGCCCCGACACCAGTCTCCTCTGGAATCCCGAAGAAGACCACCGCAACCAGCCAGACCATTACCCTTACGGCAGCCATTGACGTTAAGTTTTAGCCACCCCTCAGTCGGCGCCGTCCACCCCACCTGAACCTCAATTTGCGTCTTCCTCCCCGCGATTTGAACCTTACGTGCATTAAACGCCGCCTTGGTCTCCTTATCATAGCATGCAAGCCATTCAGTCTTCTGATCACGAGCCATCGTCTGGGATTTGAAAATCTCATCATTTCGCCAACGCCAAAGCTACCAAAGCCTGTGCAGAATCACTCCGGCCAGTTTTCTCCAAAGCCTTGCTTCGCCCCGCCATTCAGATTCACCTCGAACCACTCCTTCCATTGCAACGTTCTGAGACGAGCATTCGTGCGCCAGTGAACAGCGTCCTCCCAAATGCCCTCTGCCGCAGGGTAGAACCTGAAAAGATGATTTAAATCCTCTGCCTGTCATGCACATCGAAAACAAGAAGAATCAGCAGTTAGTTTACGTGGTGTTCTCTCCATGTTGGTCATAATACGCCCGTGTCGAACGAGCCAGATAAACATGCAGATTTTCGCTGGAACACGGAGACGCCCGATTTTTCTCCACTGCCCTTCTATGGGTACCACTGAGTTGTTAATGTTGAAGAAGTTTGAAGAAGGAAATTGTATATATTCTGTATATTGAAGAAGGAAACTGACCACAATATATAGGCAGTGAAAGGAAAGCTAAAAGACCCTAACAGTCATACAATAAACCCTAGGGATACTAACAGACATACAATAAAAGCAAATAATAAAAGCATAGTAAATACAATAAATAAAACATCTCAACATCCCCCCTCAAGCTGGAGCGTGAATATCAAAAGCTCCAAGCTTGTTACACAAATATTCAACTCTGGGACCTCTTAAAGCTTTGGTGAAGATGTCAGCCAACTGATCATTTGTACCCACGAATGAGGTAACAATTTCCCCGGATGTGATCTTTTCACGAATAAAATGACAATCGATCTCGATGTGTTTTATTCTCTCATGAAAAACAGGATTGGATGCAATATGCAAAGCAGCTTGATTGTCGCACATCAGTTTAATTGGCCCTTTCACACAAATTTTTAATTCAGTCAAGAGATGCTTCAACCAGATTAGTTCACATGTTCCCAAGGCTATTGACCGATATTCTGCCTCTGCACTTGATCGAGCTACTACATTTTGCTTCTTACTTTTCCAAGAAATTAGGTTGCCACCAAGAAAAACACAGTATCCTGATGTTGATTTTCTATCCCAAGGGCATCTAGCCCAATCTGCATCAGTATAACCAATAATCTCTGTATTTCCATGATCCTTGTATAACACACCAGGTCCTGGAGACTTCTTGATGTATCTTAGAATCCTAATGACAGCATCCCAATAACTATCACACGGAGAGGCCAGAAATTGACTCACAATGCTAATTGCAAACGAAATGTCGGGGCGAGTGACTGTTAAGTACAACAATTTCCCAACCAATCTTCGATATCTTCCTGGATCTGAAAAGGGGTTCCCTTGTTCCGGTACAAGCTTAATGTTAGGATCCATGGGAGTATCAATTGGTCTACAATCAAGCATACCCGTTTCCTCCAATATGTCCAAAGCATATTTTCGTTGAGATATACAAATCCCCTGCTTTGACTGGGCAACTTCGATCCCTAAGAAGTATTTCAATTTTCCAAGGTCTTTTGTCTCAAAGTGTTGGAAAAGATGTTGCTTTAACTGGAGTATTCCTTCTACATCATCTCCTGTGATCACAATATCATCGACATAAACAACAAGATAAATGCTCTTACCTTGTCGATGCCTGTAAAACACAAAATGGTCCACTTTGCTCCGAACTAACCCAAACTCTTGTAGAACTGTGCTAAAACGTCCAAACCAGGCACGTGGAGACTGTTTCAATCCATAGAAAGAGCGTTTTAATTTGCAAACCAGGTCAGTCTCCCCCCCCCCCCCCCCCCCCCCCCCCCCCCTTGAGCAACAAAACCAGGAGGTTGCTCCATATACACCTCCTCTTTTAAATCCCCATGTAAAAACGCATTCTTGATGTCTAACTGGTATAGAGGCCAATGATGTATAGCAGCAATAGATAGAAAGATTCTGACAGAAGAGATCTTGGCCACGGGTGAGAATGTATCGGTGTAATCAACACCAAATACTTGAGTATACCCCTTTGCTACGAGACGAGCTTTGAGTCTATCTATTTGTCCATCAGGTCCAACTTTGACATTATAAACCCATCGACAACCAACAACCGTTTTGCCAGGAGGTAATGGAACCAAGTCCCAAGTTCCCGAGGAATACAAAGCAGTCATTTCATCTACCATAGCCTGTTGCCAACCAGGATGGGAAAGAGCTTCCTCAACCGATTTAGGAACAGAAACAGATGATAAACTGGAGATGAAAGCGTTATAAACAGGGGAAAAACTGTGATATGAGACAAAATTATATATAGGGTAGGGATTGCGAGTAGACCTGTTACCTACCCGACCCGCAATGGGAGAACTAGAGATTGGAGCAGGAACCGGATCCGAGGGAAGAGACAGCTCAGGAGATGAATCAGCAGGTTCAATGTTTGCAGCCGTAGTGGTTTGCGGTAATTTTGACCGACGATGATAGGTGAACCGGAAAGGAGAAATAATATGGGTTTGTGATGTATTGGGAGGTGGGACCCCCGGAGATAGTGGTATTTCTATCCCTCCTTCAAATGAAGGGACTGGTAGGACCCCAGGAAAAGGATCCACAACCCCTGCATAGTTAGATGAAAAGAATGGAGTGTACTCAAAGAAGGTAACATTTGGTGATACATAGAATCGTCGTGTGTCAGGGCAATAACATCTGAACCCTTTTTGAACCCTAGAATACCCCACAAAAATACATTTCAAGGACTTGGGTGAGAGTTTATCACGACCAGGAGTAATATCCCGGACAAAGCAAGTGCAACCAAAAACCTTAAGAGGGAGCTTGTGTAATGGCTCTTGAGGAAATAGTATGCTATAAGGTATTTTGCCGTGCAGAACAGATGATGGCATACGGTTAATAAGGTAACATGAAAGAAGGATAGCATCTCCCCAGAAATCAGAAGGAACCTTGTAGTGAAGAAGCATAGTCCGAGCAGTTTCCACTAGATGCCTATTCTTCCGTTCAGACACACCATTCTGTTGTGGGGTATCTGGACAGGAGGACTCATGGAGAATACCCTCAGAGTCAAGAAGGGTAGACAAAGGAGTATTGAAATACTCTTTGGCATTATCACTCCGAAGAATTTTAATAGACACTCCAAACTGATTTTTAATTTCATTATGAAACTTTTGAAAGATGTTGAACACTTCAGAACGTCGTTGCATTAGGAAAACCCAAGTACAACGAGAAAAGTCATCAATAAAAGTAACAAAATACCTAAAACCCAACAAAGAAGTGACACGACAAGGACCCCATATATCACTGTGAACTAAGGAAAAAGGGGATGAGGATACTTTATTAACCCGTTCAGGAAAGGAGGTTCTTGAATGTTTTCCCAATTGACAAGATTCACACTCTAGTGAAGGCAACTTTGATAGACTCGGTTCAAGTTGTTGTAGTTTCCTCAAACTTGGATGACCTAGACGGCAATGAGCAAGGGAGGGAGGAACAGTAGCACTACAGACAGCGGAAGCAGGAGTGGATAGACGGTATAATCCTTTTGATTCATACCCCGAGCCAATCGTCTTCCCCGAACGACGGTCCTGTATAATAACCGAATCAGAAGAAAAGGTGACAAGACAATCTAGAGAGTGAGTAAGTTGACGAATGGAAATCAAGTTAAAAGGACACGTAGGTATATACAAAACTGATGACAAAGGTAAATTAGAAAGAGGTCTTGCTTTACCAACCCCGTTTGCAGTACATATGGATCCATTACCAAACACAATAGGCGGAAGAGACTTAGAGTTTGTAAGGTGAGTCAATAAAGAGGAATTACCACAGATATGTTCAGAGGCACCTGAATCAAGGACCCATGGTCCAAGAGGTCCAGATTGAGTAACAAGGGCAGTATGAGTCTCTCCGGGATGAGCCAAAGGAGTGACAACAGCAGCTTGGGCATTAGCCTTAAACCGGGCAAACTCTTCATATTCCGCAAGAGAGATAGTCTTAGAACCTGATTCTTCTTGTTTGAACTGAGCCACATTTGTAGGAGTATGCAACGGTTTCCCATGTAGCTTCCAACATCGGTCTCGTGTGTGTCCAGATTTATTGCAGTAATCACAATATCTAGCATTTTTCTGCCCACTACGATCTTTATTCCGGTTGCCCAGATTGTTACCTCGGCCTCCTTGGATCACAAGAGCAGATTGTTCCGTGGTGGGTGCAGGAATCTCACCAAGAAAAGAAGTCACTTGAAGAAGGCGTTTGAACAATTCTTGGATCCCTGGCACAACCTTATCCCCAAGAATCTGGTTTCGAGTATTCTCAAACTCGGGGCCTAATTTAGACAAAACAAGAATAACAAAGAATTTTTCCCGTTGGGCAGCCTGTTCAGTAGGTGTCCCTCCAATTGGTAAAAGCTTATTAAACTCTGTTAATAAACTTTGAGTTTTTCCAAGGAAGGCTTCCATACTCACACCATCCTTCTTTAAGTTTATCAAATTATCAACAACTGTGTAACATTGTGAAATATCATTAGTGTACAAGGATTTGGCTTGATTCCATACCTCAACACATGTTTTAAAAACTCTAAACAGTTGAATTAACTCAGGTGAAAGGGATTGCCATAGGAGACTACAAAGTTGTGCATCCACCCTTTTCCAAATTGTCTTCCCATTTTCTAGAACATCTTCTACCCCTTGTTCCAAATGGTCAATAACACCTTGGCCCATAAACCACATTTCAACGGCATCCGACCAAGAGTGATAGTTTTGTGACCCACATAATTTTTCAGAGGTAATAACAGGATTTACAGATAAATTAGGCACAAAAACTAAGCAAGAAATAACATTTTCAACATTGCCAGAAGTTTCCTCAGTTCCAGTTGAAGACATGGTTGATAAAAAAAGGAGTAATATTACCAGGAAAGCCAGAAGAGGGTCGAAATTGAAACTGGAAAGTTTCGCCGGAAAAACTCGCCGGAGGAAGTCTCACGCGCCGGCGCGTGAGGTGGCGCGTGCGGCGGCGGTTTGCGACGGGGTTTCGTCGGCTGGAGTCGCCGGACCTTCCAGACTGGTGGTGGTCGTCAGATCTTGTGAAAACTTCGAAAGAAAGGCTGTATTGAAATTTTGAGTACCGGATGAACAGTAACGCTACTGTTCATGCGCTACTGTTCATGCGAAAAAAGGGGAAATCAGGCCACCGAGAGGTGGCTCTGATACCATGTTGAAGAATTTTGAAGAAGGAAATTGTATATATTCTGTATATTGAAGAAGGAAACTGACCACAATATATAAGCAGTGAAAGGAAAGCTAAAAGACCCTAACAGTCATACAATAAACCCTAGGGATACTAACAGACATACAATAAAAGCAAATAATAAAAGCATAGTAAATACAATAAATAAAACATCTCAACAGTTAACAATAAGCTTGTATGCCGATCGAACAGTAAACTGCCCGTCATCTTCCAGACCCCACCCAACTTTGTCTTGAGCAAAGTCTTCCGCGAGCACATAGTTCATCAACCGCTGTTTGGTAGTCATCGGCAACATGCCTTCCAGGGACTCCCATTTCCATCCGCGGCATTCGTCTCAGTATTCCCTAACAGTTGTGTAAAGGGCAGGCAAAAGAAGCGGGGTATTGAGCTGAGAAAACAAAGGCAAGGGTGTGATCCACTTTCCAGTCGCGCACCACTTGGTTGGAACCTGCTGTAACGAAGCTCCAGGCCGCTACAATGCCACGCCACGCATTTGATACGTTGCGTCGCCCGGTCTTGCCACATTGCGGTGTCCCCGTCAGCTTGTATTTTGAGCTTAACGTCCTCGCCCAAAGACTATCGGACTCCGCCCTTAGCCGCCAGCCGAGCTTTGCCATATAAGCCATATTCATCTCGTTCATCCGTTTCACTCCCAAACCCCCAGCATCTATCTCTGCCGTGACAAGGTCCCAGTTAACCAAACTCATTTTGTGTTCCTGACTGTTCCCCCCCCCCCCCCCCCCCCCCCAAATAAACTTCCTGGTCCTTTTCTCAATTTCTAGGCCAATGCTTCTAGGTAGGGCTGTCGTTTGCATGGTATAAGCTGGAATAGCGTTGAGGACGGCTTTCGCAAGAACAACTCGCCCCGCCATAGATAAAGTCCGTGTTTTCCAACCTTCCAGACGTCCCGCTATTCTGTCAAGGAGGTCCGAAAAGGTGGCACACATAATCCTTCCATGGAAAGCCGGGACACCCAAGTAGCGCCCCATATCATTCGTGCGAGCAATGTTTAATTGCCTGGCGATGCTGTCCGCGTCGTTGCCGTCCATATTCTTGGAAAAGAACACCTGAGACTTAGCCAGACTGATACGCTGCCCCAAGTCCCTACAGAAACGGTCCAGACAGTCTTTGACAACTCCCACCTGCTCACTCGTGGCCTCTGTAAAAAGGACCATATCATCTGCAAAACAAAGATGAGTTACAATTTTTATACCTTTCCACCTGTTACTGTCCGTCGCAGAAACGATCATCTGACTGAGCCTCTCCATGCATAAAACAAAAATTGCTGGGGACATTACATCGCCTTGTCTGATGCCTCGGCCAGGGCGAAAGGACTCTAACCGATCCCCATTCCATATGACTGACAGCCTAGAAGTTCGAACACATGTCATGATGAGGTCTTTGATCTTGCCTGAAAAACCCGCCCATTCAAGGGTATCCTGAATGTAGTCCCAAGAGAGTCGATCATAAGCCTTTTCGAAGTCGAGCTTAATAGCCATGAACCCTTTCGCTCCTTGTTTCATCCGCATGGTGTGCATTACCTCTTGGAAAATAATAACATTATTAGAAATCTGGCGTTCCGGGACGAAAGAGCTCTGAAAAGGTCCTACAATCTTTGGGAGGATAAGTTTGAGGCGGTTGGTGATTGTCTTCGTGATGATCTTGTAGCTCACATTGCAGAGGCTGATAGGCCTGAACTGTTTGATATTCTCTGGGTCTTTCACTTTAAGGATCAATGCAATCAAAGTATCATTTAAGCCTTCCGGAATGGTGCCACTTGTGAAAGCTCCCTTAACAAGAGCGTACACGTCCTCCCCAACTTTGTCCCACATGTGCTGGTAGAAGCCTGCCTGGAAACCATCGGGGCCCGGGGCTTTGAAGGGCCTCATGTCTTTGAGGGCTGTATGGACCTCGTCTCGTGTGACTATCCGATTGAACACCGTCCAATCTAAAGATCGGAGGCGGGGAAAGTTTCCCTCCAAAAAGATATGTCCATCTCCGACCGGTTCAGGCGTGAAGAGCTTGATGTAAAACTCGCGTACATGCTCCCTCAACTCTTCTGTCCCCGACAGCCACACACCATTCTCGTCCATGAGGCTCTGGACAGATACCCAGATGTTGATCTAGTGCTTTAAGCTTGCTGACGCTGTATGTTTATGGCAGCTAAGATGGCAAATGAATAGGTCCGTAAAATGTTTATCCCAGTTCACCAAAGGTCCATTGTTTAATTTAGAAAATTATCGTTCAATTCCAATGTGCTTTCCAACAAAATGAATATGTGAACATAAAATTACAGTATACTCACTTTACTGCGGCGACCCAGATCTCCAATCCTTCCGCTCGACTCTTCTTTTCCAGCCTCATCAATGATTTCCTACGAATTATCGGCACCCAAACACCAAAAATACATCAGTTAATACATACGCACACATGCAGAGATAAGAAGAGCGTATCAAAAGTACCTGAGCAGAAATCAATTGGGCAGCGAAAACAAGTAAGAGGGCAAAGAGGTAAAGATAGGCATTCGATCTCAAACCCATGTCGGTTCGTTTTTACTTTTTCCCAAAAAAGAAAAACTAGTTTTACTTTTCTTTCTTTTAAAGCAAATTCATTAATTACAGTTAGAAACGTTTACAATAAAATTTAATGGAATGATAAGTCATTCCTTACAATCTGACACAAAAACAACTTTTCTAACTAAGCTACTGAAAACTTGATGCGCAGACTGTTTTACATATTGGAAGCTGAGATCCTTAAAAGGAACTTAAATCTTCTTTCAAATCTTTGATGATCTAGCCAAACGTAGACAAGACTATCTCTGAATGAAAAGTTTGCACACCACCTAAGTCTTCATCTCTATTCTTCTATGCATTGACAATATTCCCAACTGAATACACACCTGATCTTGTATCTTTGGCCGGTTTATCAGTGGGCAGCCTGCCAACCGAGCTGAACTGCATATCATAGTTCAGAAGATGTGATTTTCTATTGTTATCTTTGTTGTCCAAAATGAGTTTCACATAAGTCATGACCATTTTTATCTTTTCACACTCCATAAGAATCTCGTCAGAGAACGAGAGGGAAAAACTCGTCAAAAGAATGAGATAAACTACACAAAATAACCAGCAAAATAGATGCAGAAGTAAAAAAATAAATAAATAAATAAATAAATAAAAGGTAGGCAAAAAACAAAATGGGTGACAACTCGTACTATCACAAAACAAAATAGTTTTACTTTGTTCCATTTATATATACTCCATACAAACTTTATAATATAATATTTTGTTAACTATTTATTATTCTTAACTTACTTATAGAAAAATATTTTCTAATATAATAATAATAATAATAATAATAGTAATAATAATAATAATAATAATAATAATAATAATAATAATAATAATAATAATGAGATATGAGATAAATTTTAATGCCGAGACTCATGTCAAATAATTTCTATAATAAAAACCTAGCACCCAAATAGGTTTAAATTGGACAAAATAATTATTGACTTTTGTATCGGTGCCAAGCCAATTTTACACTAGAGTCATATAATGTGTCCTAGTGTTGTTATCCTCTAACTAGTGTTATGAATTCACCTTCTGGCAAAGCTATACTTAGAATTCAACCTACAACTTCATTTATAAGATGTGAAATTATTGGCATTATATTTGTCTTATGGGCAAAGCTATATTCAATATTCATGCTATAGCTCCACTTAAAGCGTAGGGTGTGAGATAGATCACAACATTTAGGCTCATATCATCTAACCTAATTCATGTTATTAGAAGAACAAGTTAAGGTTTAACAACAAATAGTGCAATTTGACAAACCCCATGTCGCTATTTTGTTGTTTGGAACCCAAAATAAGATACCACATACTATATATGTTGTTAACAATAGTTTCTAGATACTCACTTCATGTTGTAACTGTCAAGTTTATTTATGAGATGTGAGATAAATCTCAACATCTATGACATATAGCAAAGAATTGTTACTAACAGGAGCAAAGCAATAAAATATCTTTTATGATGGTTCACATCTGTTGACTTGAAACGAATTGTCAAATTCAAGGCAAAAAGGGAATACTAAGTCAAGCAAGAATTAGGAATTATATTCCTAATATAAATAGGAATAGTAACCCTATTCATATCCATTCTATAACTCTCGGCCTATAAAAGAAGCATCTCCACAACTCTTCTAGACAAGCTTTCAAGATCTAATCGTAACTCACGAGAGTCATTGAGAAGAGATACCCAAATCCTCTTGAAAAGTAGTACAAGTGTTTAGGTCACAATAGTCTGATAAGAAAGTTCATCATATTCTGTAATCCCCGTTCCTTAAATAGTGTACTTTGAATATTAAGCTTTTAGTGGATTTAGGCAAATTCTCAACTTGAGAAGTGACTCGCAGATTAGGGTTGTTTGCTCGAACTGCGTTATAAATTTATTGTGTCACAACGTCAGTTTTAACATTACTGTATGCATCGCTTATATAAATTTCCATTGGTATCAGAGCGGGTCTGCTCAAGTTACTGGCAGGATCCAAATGAAATTTCCAAGAGAAGGACTTTCGAACAATAAACAACCAGCCCTACTTGGCACAAACTTCTCCTACCGGAAAGCCCGAATGCAGATATACATTTTAGCACAAGGAGAAGGTGTTTGGAATGCAATAGAAAACGAATGGAGAACTCCAGTTGATGACAAAGGAAATAGAAAACCTAGAATTGACTGGAGTGAAGAAGAGAAAACAGAATATGACTTCAACTCGAAGGCAATGAATGCAATATATGGTGCAGTAAGCGAAGATATATTTAAACTGATTGCTACTACTCGCATAGCCAAAATCGCATGGAGTATATTATGTGATCATCATGAGGGAAACACGTCTGTAAGACAATCCAAGCTACAGATGATACAAACAGAACTTGAAAATCTGAAAATGGAAGAAGAAGAAAGCATCACACAATTCAGTGCCAGAGTTTTGAGTATTTCTGGAGATGCATTTAACCTAGGCGAACCTATACCTGAACATAGGATCGTCAAAAAGGTACTACGCTCAATACCTGAAAGATTCCTAATAAAAGTCACTGCAATTCAAGAAAACAAAGATCTGAATACATACAAACTTAGTGATCTAATGGGAAACCTTCAAACCTATGAACTTGAGATGCTGCAAAATCAGAAGAATAATGGCAAAGAAATAGCACTACAATCCAAACAAGAAAACTCAGAAACTGATTTTGAAACCATGGAACAGTCAATTGCACTATTGACAAAGAATTTCAACCGAGTTCTCAAAAAATTCAACAAGTTCAGAAATAAAAATTCCTCGAACAACCAAGGAAATTCCATAGTCAATCAAAAACCATCCAATACAAAACGAAGGGACAATTCAAATACAGAAGGAATACAATGCTATGAGTGCAAAGGGTTTGGACACATCCAATCAGAATGTGCCACATACTTGAAAAGGAAAAACAAGACATACATAACAACCCTGAGTGATGACTCAGATAGTGAAGAAGACATCAACACAAATTTCATAGCCTTCACTGCCAGTCATGAAATTAACAATAACGATGACATGCAAGAACTACTAGAAGCATATACTCAACTAAATGCCAAGTGGGAACAGATCATCAAGGTAAATCTATAACTTATGGAAGAAAATCAATTTTTAAAGGATGAAAATGATCGGGGAGAAAAACGGTACAAAGAAGCTCAAAATGAATTATTAAGACTTAAAAAACAGAGAAGCTAAACTACTACAAGAAATCAAGGAGCTTACCGAAAGACCCAGGACTCCAAACACAGACACCAGTGAAAATCACCAAACCGAGATACAGGAAGTGTCGCAACGCCGCTTTCAACATCAAAGAAGAATAAGATGCTATTATTGCCACAAACTGGGACACATCAAAGCACACTGCTACAAAAGACAGAATGATCTTTATTACAGGCAAAACAACAGAATTTGGCCATCACACAACAGAAATAATAGCAAGAAAATCTAGGTAAGAAAAGACCAAAATGTTGCAAATACCTCCAAAACAAACAAAGAGCAAGATATATGGTATTTTGACAGCGGATGCTCTAGGCATATGATTGGAAATCCAGAAAATTTAAAGAACATACAATATAAAAATGAAGGATATGTTACCTTTGGAGATGGAGGAAAAGGGAGAATCATCGCAAGTGGAACTTTGAACGTACATGGGCTGCCAAAACTATCAAAGGTCTTCTTAGTACAAGGATTAAAAGCAAACTTGATTAGTATAAGCCAACTATGTGAAGATGAACTTAAAGTGGAATTTTCAAAGGACAACTGCAATGTCCTCAACCAAAATCATGAATGTGTTATGATCGGGAGAAAATCCACAAATAAATGCTACACATGGGATGGTGATCTAACCTGCTTACAGACAACCGTCAATCAAACACAACTGTGGCATCAACGGATGGGGCACATAAACTTTCATGACATGAAAAAGGGTTTAAAGAGGGGAGCCTACCGAGGAGTTCCAACACTCGACATAGATGAAAACAAAAAATGTGATGCATGCCTTGAAAACAAAATCACACGAACAGCCCACAAGAAATCCTCGGGAATACATACTTCTAGGATCCTAGAATTACTTCACATGGACCTATTTGGGCCTACTCAGACAGAAAGCATAAGAGGGAAGAGATATGTCTATGTAACAATTGATGATTACTCACGATTCACATTGGTAAACTTCCTTAGAGAAAAATCTGAAGCATTCACAACATTCAAAACCCTCATTATCAAAATCCAGAATGAAAAGGATGGAAGAATATGGAAAATCATTCGTATAAGAAGCGATCATGGAAGGGAGTTCGAGAACTCAAAATTCAAAGAATACTGCACAGAAAATGGGATCCATCATGAGTTCTCCGCACCAAAGACGCCCCAACAGAACGGAGTAGTCGAACGGAAGAATCGAACTATCCAAGAAATGGCAAGGGTTCTTTTAAACCACAAGAGACTTCCATCAAATTTTTGGGCTGAAGCAGTAAATACAACATGTTACATGATAAACCGAGTATTCATACGAAAAGAAACCAACATGACACCATATCAAATCTGGAAAGAAAGACACCAAATTTAAAACACACACATGTGTTCGGAAGCAAATGTTATATACTAAAAGCAGTGTTGTAAAACTCGGCCTCCTCGGCGCTAGGCGGCGCCATGCCGTGCCGCTTTTGATTATAGTCGGCCATTACTCGGCCGACCGCCTAGGCGGCCAACTCGGCCAAACTCGGTCAAAATCGGCCAACTCGGCCGAGTCGATCAATTTCGTCCAATTTTGACCGATTTCGTCTGATTTTGACTAATTTTGACCGATTTCGTCCCATGTTGTCTTTCATTAATTATTGATTTTAATATTATTATGATATTATGACTTATAAATTATCGTTATTTCATTTATTTGGATGTGCTATTTGATTGAATGTTGAAAACATTCTTATTAAAATTGTCAAACTACAAGTCTGTCACTATTTTTTTAAATTTTTTTGGTGCCCGCCTAGCGCCGCCTAAATTCTGCCTAGGCGCCGCCTAGACCGCCTAGGCGCTAAGCGCTGCCCAGGCGCCCGACTAGCGCCTAGCGCCTACTGCAACCATGACTAAAAGATAGAGAACCATTGGGAAAGTTTGACATCAAAGGAGATAAAAGAATTTTCCTAGGATACTCCTCAAACAGCAGGGCTTATTGAGTATTTAATCTTAGAACAGACACTGTCATGGAATCTATAAATGTTTTCATCAATAACGCAACATCAGAAGATCCCTCCACCAATGATGAAGAAATAACAGTTGTTGAAACAACAGTTCCAACACCTCCAGATTAGAAATCTGAAACAGAAACAACAGAGAAAGAAGAAGCAAAAGATCTTGAGGAAATTGAGGAAACCCTCACTACTGATGAGACGAGGATACAGAAAAATCATCCAGTAGAAAACATTATAGGAGGACTCAATGAAGGGATCAGAACCAGAGGAAAGAAACGAGACTATCGAAAAATGGAAGAAGGAGACTACTGCTACACCTCAAAAATAGAACCCAAAAACATTACGGAAACCTTAAAGGATGAATTTTGGGTGGAAGCCATGCACGAAGAACTACATCAGTTTGAAAGAAACAATGTCTGGGAGTTAGTCTCTAAACCAGAAAACGCCAATATCATAGGGACAAAATGGATATACAAGAATAAAACAGGTGAACAAGGGAACATTATACGAAACAAAGCCTGACTAGTAGCACAAGGATATACTCAAGTTGAAGGAACATATTTTGAGGAAACATTTGCCCTAGTAGCCAGAATAGAATCAATCCGGCTTCTCATAGCAATAGCCTGCATACTCAAGATAAAGCTATACCAAATGGACGTAAAAACGGCTTTCTTGAACGGAAACTTAAAAGAAGAAGTCTATGTTGCTCAACCAAAAGGGTTTGAGGATCCTCACCTTCTACAAAATGTATTCAAACTCAACAAAGCCCTATATGGACTAAAACAAGCACCACGAGCCTGGTATGAACGTCTTACTGAATTCCTAATTAAAAAGGGTTACAAGAGAGGAAGCATGGATAAAACCCTATTTGTCAAACACTATGGACAAAACATAGTCATCGCTCAAATCTATGTCGATGACATAGTCTTTGGATCAACACTCGAGAACTACAAAAATCAGTTCATCGCTAACATGGAAGGAGAATTTGAAATGAGCATGGTAGGAGAATTAAACTATTTCCTTGGCCTACAAATCAAACAACAAGACAATGGAATCTTTATATCATAAAGCAAATATGCCAAGAACCTTGTTAAAAGATTCAGACTAGAAGAAAGCAAAATTGTCAGAACACCTGTTCCAACAACAGAAAGGATATCAAAAGATTCAGAAGGAAAACCAGTTGAACAAACTCTATATCGAAGCATGATAGGAGGATTGCTATATTTAACTGCAAGTAGGCCAGATCTAAGCTTTACAGTAGGAATTTGTGTAAGATACCAAGCCAACCCAACTAAGCAACATCTAAAAGCAGTAAAAAGAATTATCAAATATGTGAAAAGAACCTTTGATCTAGGAATATGGTATTCATTCGACACCAATCATCATCTATCAGCCTATTGCAACGCCGATTGGGCAGGAAACATAGATGACAGTAAAAGCACCTCAGGAGGATGTGTCTTCCTAGGTACAAACCTAGTATCATGGATCAGCAAGAAACAAAGCTCTATATCCCTATCAACAGCAGAGGCTGAATATATTGCAGCAGGGAGTTGTTACACACAACTACTTTGGATGAAACAAATGCTAGAAGATTATGGAATACATCAGTCAACTATGATCATTCACTGTGATAATAAAAACGCAATAGATATTTCAAAAAATCCAGTACAACATTCAAGAACAAAACATATTGACATCATGCATAACTTCATAAGAGAGTTAGTAGAAGATGAAATCATCAGTCTCACTCATATCGGTACAGAAAAACAACTGGCAGACATCTTAACAAAAGCTCTTGACGGAAATAGATACACAAAATTAAGTATCATATAAATCACTTAATCAAGGAAGCACATGGGCCATATCCACAAAATAAAGGTAACAAACAAGTCAAGCCCATTATCATCCCTAAAGATCTAAAGGAAGCCCATGTTAATAAGACCAAAACCCGAATCCAACACCTCAAATATTTCCCAAATCAAAAACAGACTCACCATCTACACCCATCCATCGTCTACCCGAGAAACCATCACTCACCCCCACACTCAACAAAGACAACAATGGTGAGAACCAGGAATCAGAGGATGGGGAAGATACCTCGAAGAGGAGTCACTGGTAGCTCTTCACAGTTCACTGGCACCGGAGAATCCTCGAACCCACTGTGCATCGAAGAAGAAGACCCTCCTACCGTAGCAATGGATCCAGTTCCAATTTCAAGAGTCCCCTTCGGCGAGCCTCAAGAACAGAGCAACATCCCACCAGGTAACCCGAATCTTCCTCTAGTTAGCCATGATGAACAGCCCGATAGTATGCCCATTGCGGCCGATCTTGGGGACAATCGAATCGTTGACCCAAATGATCTAGTAGTACAACTGAGGTTTGCCATAAATCGCGGCTAGGAACCCGATTTATTGTCATATGTTAGCTCCGAAGAAGAGATGAATCCAAGGGAGCCTGAAATTGAGGAACACGAAGAACCTCTAAATCAAGAGGCAAATCGTTCTTCCAGCCCTCAAAACGAAGAACACACCTCAGCTATTGAATCCCCCATTCCAATTTCTCGGGTCAACAAGAACCCTAGAAAAAGGAAGAAAAGCGACCCGTTTGAAGGAGCTGATCCTAGGGCCAAAAGGCCAAACGATTTTCCAATACGGGCAGGACCACCTCAACGACAGCCTAATATTCCACCTAAACCCTCAAAAACCAAGAAATCAAAAAGAATAATAACAGAGGATGAATAGAATTGGTCACCAAATGAAGAAGATAAAAACTCTGGTGGTGAAAGAATAAGAACCCGAGCCCAAAAGAAATCTCAACTATCTGCCAGAAAGGAGGGAAAACGAAAGATAAAAATATCAACCAAAGTGGCTAAAACACCTGCCAAGGAAAAGGGGAAATAGAAAGTGGTTAATGATGGTGACATGTCAAACCTACCAAATCCCCACAGTACAACCTTTTTGAGAAAAGAATATGTGAGCTTGTAGAAAAGAATAGTGGAGAAAAAGATCATTAGCCAAAAATTGGTTATCATAGATAGGCTAGACAATTCAGAACAGATTCAAGAAGTTCTAATCACAAACCAGCTTTTGGGAACAGTGACCAA